TTAAACCGATAATTATTACATTAAAATATAATATGTACTTACGAAATTTTTAACAACAAAACTAATTTATGTCTATTTTCTCAAAAACTCAGATAAGATAATGTAATATTCTCTCATACTGTAAAGAACCCTATTAAGGAGCCAAAAATGAAGTCTTTTATATATATATATATATATATATATATATATATATATATATATATATATATATATATATATATATATATATATATATATATATATATATATATATATATATTTTTATACAACTTAGAATGGCAAACAAGCTGACGGCCCACCTGATGGAAAGTGGTAACCGTCGCCTATAGACATGAGCAGTACCGTGGACATAACAGAGTATACTGGTTCGCCTATGATACCCCCCATGCGTTGCCATTCCTGAGGACTCAGGTGTTATTCCTCTGTACCCAGTAAATTCACGCCATATCCCACCCTTCAAACCGAAACACAGCCATGCAAACACAACTGCTTCACAATTGAAACACGAATGGGACAGAGGTACCCAAGCAATCGACTTTTGTACAAAGTCTCCCTCTGGTAATCCCTATCTCGTTCTGATGTATATTCTATGTTGATGCACTTGATAAATAGTCCTTTTAATTGATTCTTCTACTTGTAAAAGCCACACGTAAGTTCCAAAAAGTTACGAGAATCACAACACAAATATCACAACAAAAAAGAATGATATCGCATTCGAATCTGAAAATTTACTTTTATAGCGTACATGTTTTCACAATGCACTACGGACAGTGCTAGAAAATAACATAACATTAAAATTAATAGTTGCGCACGAGTTCATACAACGAGCATTTACATTGATAAATTATCTCGTTTCATATCAAAAAGACTTGGCTATAGTACTTGCACGTTTTAGATCAAGATTTTACGCATGACTTACTATTCATGTACACAAAATGCGCGCGGAATATTAATACTTAATTCTTATTAAGTTCTTTAATAATATTGTGTGTGTTAAAAATAGAAAATATATGAATACTGATTAAACTCTGGTGAAAATATCAAGGGAATGTTTTATAAATGAGATTGGATATTTTTTTTTTTTTATAAAGGAATATGAGCTGACATCTTAAGCCTTCTATGGTAACTTACGCTTATGTTACTATAGGTGGCTCAAAAAATCTCAACTTTTAAGAAAAATTCTCAATTTTTGAGAAAATTCTCATTATTATCAAATTTTGAGAAAAATTCTCTATTTTTGAAAACTAATAAAATAAAATATTTTTACTAGTTTCGAAGATAAACAATTTTTGACGATTTTTAAGAAAATATTTTTTCTAGTTTATGAGAAAAAGTCAATTTTTTTTGTAAAAATACCTTTTATAAAAAAGAATGCTAATGAAATATATTCCTTCCTGTATACGCAATAGGTAAGTACTTTAATATTTATATAAAGAGGTACTCATACGAATTAGGGGCCCGCAAAACATTACCACGAGTGTTCACGTGAGAAATCAATAGAATGGGTTCGTTAACAGACACAAGGGTACTCGATGGGGAATTGTGCCGATGTCAGATCTTCGCTGACAGGCATCGAGAGCTCGCCGAAATGTTAATGAGACAGCGCCTTATACCACTCATCTCAATACGCCTGTTGTGAATACCACATATAAGGTTCAAAATTGATTAAAATATTTACATAGCATTTATGCCTAAAAGTCCTTATTAATATTGTATACTAACTATCTGCCCAGGCTTCGCACGGATATAACAATGAAGAAATTGAGATCAGCGGGTCTACCATGAAATGAAATTCCGAAATTTCGGGCTCAATTTCGTGTTTTTGTTTATACCAAAATCGGACCAATAAATGGAGTTTAACATTTCGTTCGTCATACATCCTATCATAAAAGTCCAAAGGAACAATATTTTAACATTTTTAATATTTCCAAACGGCATGTATTATGTAATTTTAACATCATATTTGTGTTTCGTTTGGCTCCGAAATTTCGGAAAACATTTCATGGTAGGCCCTCAGATCTATCGTTCTTTCCGTTAACCGCAGTTAGACTTTTGATGATGTTTTAAAAGAGACGCTGATGTCCATCCCTCGACCGATCCAAGTATAAATATGAAATATTGTATATATCCAATGGCTTAGAAGTTAATTAGGTACTCAAAATCTTAGATATCTCGCACGTGAATGTAAAATGGTACTTTAATGTTTAACGTGTAATAATGCCTGTGTAAAACCAAGTATAGCTTACATATGTAAATTTACTTTAAACGTAATATGCATAATAAGAGAGTATCATGAAAATTATCTCACAGGATACATTTTCTTTCTTCATAGCTGAGATGATTATAACGATGATGATTTCATAAGCAATTTCAAGTGTAAATCTATGGATGTTGGTGTGAGGTGCGTGTTGATGGTATGTCTGCGTTGATAAGCCGCGTATTGATGTTTGTCAAGTGGTGAAAATAAGCAGTCCTTAGGGGGGAAAGGGATTGTTAGTAATGGGGTCAAATAGCCCTATTACTAGCAATATAGCCTGTCAGGTCGACCTCCACGTGGTTCCCCCTGGAAACCTGGAAACCGTGACTGATTCTAATTAATAATATAATTCGTCAGGATGGGCTGACTGACCTGCTTTTATACTCATAAGTCATCTCTCACTGATACCCCGCCAGTGTATACCAATAGCGCAGACGGGGTTACCATACCATTATCACCCATTAAAAAAAAATTAACAGTCCAAATAGTTAGCACAGTGGTTTAATGCACAGGAAGATATACACACAATATAGTCAACAACAGAATAGAAAGAAGGAGTGAAAGAAAAATGATACAGTGAAAAGGCAAAGACGAAAGTTAATAATAATAATCTTTAATTTTTAAATATTACTTACTTATTAAAAGTTTCTGAATTCGGTTGTTTTTTATGTTTCTTTTCCCATAACTTTGTCAGTTAGCAAGTTATAAATTGATTTGGAAAATTCTTTTTTTTTATCTAAAAGAATATGCTTATATATTGGTTCCATGAAAGTTTTATCAAAATCGGTTCAGTAATTTAGTTTTTTAATCAAAATAACTTATTTTGCCGCAATTGTTATAAATGTAACCCAACTGATTACAGTTGGGTTACATTTATTGTAATATTTATAAGGGTCACATTTTTTTTTAAATAGTATATGTAACTTTTTATGAGTGAAAGAATTGTTAAATCAATTAAGCAGTTTTTGAGTTTATCCATTAGAAACACACAAAAATACAAAAAATTAAATATTTTAAGTAAGTATACATAATTTAATTCTATAATGTCGTATACATTCGAGTTTTCTGTCATTTTCTTGCGGTCAACTTGCATATAATGCTTTTAGCATTAAATCTGCCTTGCACACGTTATATACGTACTAAAAAAATAAGTAAAAAATATTATAAAATACCAAAACAATTGAGTTATCGACATGATTGAGGTGAAAGACGATGTTAGATCAACCCAATACGAATCGTTTTGTATGCTAAAACAGTACTTGTGGCTCTCTCGATAGCTTGTTGACCTGCCGACCTCCCCGTCCCGGTATATCTTCACATCTCTGTTATATTGGTATAAATTTAAATATTTTATGGACGAGAATCTATTATAAACGATTGTAAGATGAAGCAAATCACTTTAAACCCTTATTCGTTAAACCTCTTGATCCTTAGAGTAACCTATTTTTCAACCGAGGTTTTCAACAAAGGAAGTTCTCAATTTAGTTATATTTTTGTTTATGTTTGTTACCTTATAACTTTGTTAGTTGTAAATCGATTAAAAAAATCTATTTTTATCAGAAAAGATATACTTACAGATTGGTCCCATAGAAATTTTGTCAAAATTGATACAGTAATTTAATTTTTATTTTAATTTCTCAAATTGAAAGATTGATATAAAAACAAATACCACGTTACTGTATCAAAAACATGTTATACTAAATATTTATAGTATTGAATAATATTTAATGGTTTATTAACAAAATTGATACCGCAGACAAAAAAAACATCAGATATGTTAATTCACGGTCAAAATTTTCTATGTAACTAATTAACATAATTATTAAAATAGTCACGATATTTTTTAACATATGTATACATTTAAAATAACTAAGATTCTTCTTATTACAAAAAAGAAGTACTTAAGAATAAAACATCAAACAGGAACATTAAACTTTCTTTAGCATCGTGATAACACTGAAACCCGTTCGTCCAATTTGAATCGATAAAAAACAAATTAAAATAAACCGAGAAGTCGATGATATCGATACTAGTTTCACTGCTATTGTACTCTCGAACGTGGTACTCTCTAATTGCGGTGGCTTTGTTATACAAAATGAGGTGTTAGCTCTTCTATTAAATAATAAGTAGTTTGATGTTCGAGCAGTGTCGATATATCAGATATAAATTAATCGGTGATGCTCGATGTTTTGATATCAACGCTTTGGAATATATATCAGTTGGTATAAAAACAAGCATTAATTATACATTACATAGCAATGCTATAATAAAATAAAAAATAATCATAACTCTAGGAGTAGAAAATAAAACAACGATGTTAGACGAACATTATAATCTGTTGTTAGTTAAAAGTATTGTCCAATGAAAATATGCAGACATGAGCACATTGTTATGAATTCTCTTTGTATAAAATATAGTAAATTTTTTATAAAGACTAACCTTAAAGCCTATTTTAACTATTACAGTAAGTTCTGTCACTTTCATTCAAACTAGAAATTTCGCATAAAAGAAAGAGACAAAATTGTTCAATAGATAAAATAGGTTTATGAAAGGTTTGATATATTTACAAGGAGATAAAAATCCAACGAATTTAATATTTTACCGACTCTTTTTAGATTTAAGACTAATAGTATTTGACTCAGGGTCATATTTTCAAATTAAAGGATTCAGATTCAGGAATCATCGATCCATTATCAAAATATGTGTTTGATATTGTAATAATTTTTTTCCTTTTTTGTTACAGATAACTTGCAAGAAAACTGCGTATGGCCGAAAGATACATAAGGAGTCCTGCAGAGGCGTCGCCGTACGCTTTTTGGACACACAAAAATGGTCTCCCTACAAACACTTACCAACAAAATCTTCAAGAAGATGCTGTTATAAATAGGGGTAATCCTAATACCAATATAAAACAAGATGTTAATGCAGAAGATAATAATAGCGAAGCAGCAAAACATAAGACTGGTAATAGCGATACGCCTAATGTTATAGCGACTGAAGTAAATCAAGATACAAATAATCAAGTATATGATGATGAGGAAGTCAGAAAAAACGTGTGGAGCGACGTCGACGATGATACCTACATAGCAGAAATAATTAAACTAAGGACTACAGATGAAGTGAGACGGGATATTCGTGATACTAGTGATTTTAGTGATAACAGTGATAAGGTTGTGAGTAGTGATAAGTTAGATTATAACGAAATGTGGGAATTGGAGCCCACGGACTTGACGGAGTGTGACTGTTTAGGGCCACCTCCAGAGTTCCTGCTGCCTCCACCGCCAAGACCACCTTTCCTCCAAGCGGATTATTACTGCGGGGACGATCCTATACCTGACTTAGAGACTTGCGACACAGAACCAGTAAGTAAATTTTTTATTGCATTTCGGATCATACTGGATCTTTGAATGTTTCCTAATATTCATCATGTTTAACCAGTAAAATGAATTTTAATGCTTGTTTGTAGATATATGAACTTCTTAATTATTTTTAAGTACAGTTAATAAGTATAGTACATACCTATTGATATGAATATTAATATTATCAAGATTTAGTTATTAAAGCATTTTAAATTCTCAATGGGTTTTTAGTAATTAATCAAATTTTATCGCTCTTTTGGAAGATAACACTTGTGTTTACACATTATTAGATAAACTTTACTTTTCGCTTCCAAACATTAGAGTAGAATATATAGTAGAACCAAAAATTACAAGAAATAGCACAAAATCACACAATGGGCGGGTTTTTCGCTAAAAGCAATCTCTTCCAAGTAAGTTTTAGATAGAAATATTATGTGCCTAATCATAATTAAATATTATCAGATTTTCTAATAAAATCTTTACCGAAACAGCGGTATAAACAAAAAAAAAAACATAACAAAATAAAGACAATTTTATAAATCTCTCCAGGAATGCTATTAATAAATTGCTCAATTTTATTTCTTCTCAGAATAAATTCAAAAGAAATAACACAACACAAAATAAATATGAAAATATTATTTATCAATGAAACTTCCTTTTTATATCTCCGGAGATTTTTTTTATATATATAATACATAAGTATATTTCTAAACCTCCTTTTGAAATAAACCATGAATAGATCTTTGTAGATGCCTCCCGATCGGATCAGAAACACATTATAATTTCATTTCGTTCAAAAAGGACTTCGGCGTACGCGAGTATTTATAAAAAAAATAATCCATTTAAATTCTCATTTTGTCCTATGTGATGACGAATACACAACTCTGCCGGAATCTTATCTATCTTAGTAAATATTTGACATATGCGGGCCTTAATGAAGGCTTGTTAACGACAACGACTTTATCTTTAAATCTACAGAAACGCACACAAGCGACTAATGGGTAAGTAAAGATTACGCGTATGGCTATGGCGATTACTTTTTATCTTTTAGAATTAAAATTACCATAAGCTCTAATTTAATGTGATATATTTGTTTATGGAACGTGGAATGACAAACAAGCTGACCCACCTGATGGGAAATATTAACCGCTACGTATAAATATGAGCAGTGTGGTCCCGACATAGAATAGGCTATCCCTTTCTTTCTCCTGGGTGTCGTAAGAGGCGACTTAGGGAAGGTAAGGGATGCGCAGCAACGTTCCTCTTAAAACATCTCTAAAAGCCTATCTGCGGTTGCCAACTCGCTTGCCAAGCGTGGCGACTACTGGCATAATTCCCCTTATGAGGAAGGCTTATGTTCAGCAGTGGACAATTAAAGGCTGAAATGGTGATGACATATATTGTACACCTGGTTTTATTTGTCACTATATAAGATAATATGGAGTCGATTTTTTTAAACTTTCTAGTATTAGGAGGTTTTCATTTGTCTCAATTTGTTTTCACTGACATAATCACAAAAACGTCGCCAATTTGAAGTAATTTTCACAATTATTATTCCCATTCATACAGTTTACTCCCATATTGCTTCAATTTATTTATTTATTATACTTTAATACACCAAGAAAGTGTAAATGGCGAACTTAACACCATATAGCGTTATCTACCAGTCAATCGTAGACAGAAATAACAAAAAATATAATTGACGGTGCAGCGTAATAAACGATAATCAAATTTATTTATTTAATAACTGAATTCGCCGTTTTTCTTTACAGAGCAAAAAAAAGTGTTTATTTCTTTATCTGTATAATTAACACGCAATATTTAAACTGTAGGGTATCCACAAAACAACTCGTCATATATCGGTGCGTTCACAGTTTAATTACCTTTTTCCTAGAAGAGTAACATCCAAATTTTTTTTTAAATGGATGACAATGGAGTGGTCACCTCGCCTGCGCTGTCGGTTTACGCTGGCGGGGCACCAGTGAAGAATGATAGATGAGAATGAAAAGGCAGGCCAGTTAGCCCATCGTGATAAATACACTTAGAATTCAGCGCGATGGTTTCCAGGGGGGACCACGTGAAGGACGACCTGACAGGGTATATTGCTAGCAATGGGAGTGGTAGCCCGCATTACTAACAATCCCTCCCCCCAGTACATACCAATTAAATACTCATACATTGTTCACAGTACTTCCTTTACACCAACCTTCTTGCTGCATAACTAATACTTTGTAAAATAACTCATTTAGATATAATACTGGAAGCGGTCTGAGTCACGTCTTCGAAGAGATTCAAGTAAATTATCTACGAAATTATGTAAATGAAGCCTGTTTCCATAAAATTAGAATTAACCGATATAATACAATGTTCAATTTCAGTACACCATTTTGTATGTAATAGAATACGTAAGTGTCTGAAAATAATTTAATATCATCATATTACTGTCCACTGCTGGACATAAGCCTCCCCTAAATACTGACTTTCACATTGGATGGTATTGCCAGTACTATTACCCTTAAATAAATTCAAAACATCTGTTAAATCATATTTACTGAGCAAAGCCTATTACTCACTAAACGATTACTTGAATGACGAGTGTGCATGGCAATAGTTGTTCATACACTGAATTTTCATTTAATGTTAGACATAGACACCTATATAAATATACATTGTAAATAAACTGGCTTTAAAAAAAAAGTAATTCAATTGAGTTTCTTGCCAGTTCTTTTCAATTGGATCTATATACCGAACTGGACGGTAGGGAAAATATAAAATTATAATGTAAAAATTTGACGTTCATAAGCGGCTAAAATGTCCTACATGAATAAATGATTTTTGAATTTGAATTTGAATTTGTAGTTGCTATACTTGGCAGGTTGGCAAGCGCGGTTAGATTATGGTGATTTTCATTTTTTTATGTCTATATTAGTCTTTAACTGTCCACTGCTGGCCAGAAGCCTCGCCCTTGGAGAGTTTTTGCCAGTAGCTGCCACGCCTGGCAGGCGGATTGACTATCACAGTTAAACTTTAGAGATGTTTTAAGAGAGACGCTACTGTCCATCTCTCCCTTAGTCTCCTCTTATGACACCTACAGGAAAGGAATAGGTGTCCTAATCTATGCCGGGACCAAACGGTTATATACATATGTAACGGGAAATTAATAGAGAGAAAGGGATTGTTAGTAATGGGGTCAAATAGCCCCGTTACTAGCAATAAATCCTGTCAGTTCGCCCTCCACGTGGTTCCCCCTGGAAACCGTTGTGGCAAATTCTAGTTGAATTCGGCAGGATGGGCTGACTGAACTGACTTGCTTTCATCATTATCAGTCACTGGTATGATATCTATCACTGAGGCACCAGTGATAGATACCGTACCATTATCACCCATAAAAAAAACGGGAAATTAATGATCTCTATGTTTTGTCGTTTCTAACAATTGTTTCGACTGCATCCGGAAGTCTTTTTCTTCAGAAGAAGAAGCGTCTGGTGTTTTGCGTCACAGCGTCTCCCAATTACATATTTATATTTTTAATACTATAATCTCTGATAGGGTTGTCAGTCTCTGGTTGCTCCATTAGGGATTATATTCGTGAGGCTATAGATTTCATATTGAGTTTCAAATATGCTCAGAAAAATGTCGGCATGTCGAGTGTTACGTACGTAATCTAATTGTGTATTTTTTGTTGCAAAAAAATGTTTAGCATTTGTAAGAAATTGTGAAAATTTTATACGTTATAACGCAGTAATTACATAAAGTACTTTCAAGGAATTTGATATTTACTTGACAGAGGGGGACAATCGTGAAGTATTTTGCATAATATTTACGAAACAACGTTATAATCTGTATCATTTTTTGAGGGGAGCAATAAAGAGTTTTTCATTGCATTTACATGCTAAAAAGTTTACAATTTCTTCGTATTTTTGTAGCTAGATACGTTTATTTATTTATTACATTATAGAATTACGTTGTCTACTCTGAATCTATTCTGATAATTCTTTTGCAGGATTTGCTGCCATATATATATATATAAATTAATTCAGGAAGTTATGAACAGAAATTTATATTATATTTATTATTTTAATGATACTTATATATTTTTTATACCACAAAGAAGCAAGCAGAAGGTGGCAAACAAGCATACAGCCCGTCTGATGGTAAACGGTCACTATAGCCTATGGCTAACTGCAACACTAGGGATGTCACATGTGCGATGCCAATCTTGAAGAAATCTTAATATAGCCTTTATTAAGAAAACCGTTTTATATTATCTTATTATATTATTTTATTAGATTAAAAGTTTTACTTTACGTGTAGAATGCAGACTATGATCATCATCATCATCATCATATCAGCCATTAACTATCCACTGCTAAATATAAGGGGAGGCTTAGGGGTTTTACCTGTACTTGCCATGCTTGGCAGGTGGATTAGCAACCGAAGTCAGGCTTTAAAGATGTTTTAAGAAGGACGCTGCTGCCTATCCCTCGTCCTCCCTTAATCGCCTCTTACGACACCCATGGGAAAGGAAAATTCTATTCTATGGGCCTGGATAACCTGGATTTATAATATTTTAATTCAATTCTTTCGAGTACATAAACGAAATACTAGAGTTAAGTACTTAAGTACATAAATGTTTAAGTTGAAACTGTACGCTTCGTTTTACAAACTATTTAAAAAGCAACTTTAACGCACATATTTGTTCACATCTGTTTCTACGGTATTATGGTTCTCTCAAAACCGTACTTACTGGTGCTTTTATAGCGAACTATTGCAGCGTTTCTCTTCTCTGTAATGTGGGAGACTGTTTGTCCGTTTATTTTGTCGTACACTTGTCATTATTTGACAAAAGTAGTAGGTGGAACCGGATGTAGGTGATCGCTGCTAACTAGTTGGTCGTAGGTACTTGGCATTTTAAGTAGTGGTATAAAAAAAATAATGAGTAGAAATATTTTTGTTTTTATTTGTAATAAATGTATATACATTGCGATAATGGATAGATATAG